ATATAAATTGTTTATGTTCATATAAGTTTGTTCAAAGCAAGTGTAAACACATGAAATGACAAATATAAACATGACGTATGAAAGAGACCATAGAGTAAAACTTGTGTTATGAAAACATACTTTTGTCGATTATAGTCATGTTAGGAATATGAATCAATAAACGTTTTGCAATAGTGCTATAAAGCAAAACACAAACCGTAATATAATAAAACGTTTCATGGAAGTGTTACAAAACAAATCGTAAACACATTAAGAGATAGGTGATAAACTTTTCGTGGAAGTGCTATAGAGCAACTCGCAAACACGGTTCCAGAACCCGTTTGTATACACGTTTTCATTGTTTCACAAACTCGCTTTTGAAGCGTTCGTGGAAAAAAATCGTTTTAAGAAACATATAATGAAAAAACGTTTTGCGATAATGCTACAGAGCAAAACGCAAATTGTTTTGATATAAGTAAGAAATGTTTCACAGAAATTCGAGAAGTAAATTGCAAACATTGTTCCAAATATAACAAAAGCCGTTCTATAAACCATTCTCAATCCGATTACACGCTTTAGAACTAAAGCGATTCAGAGTTAAGTTGTTGAAGCCGGTAAATCGGATCGACATAAACGATAAAATAGAATCGGATTTAGGGAAATAGATGATTCAGAAAGACGATAATAAGAACATGGAGACGAGATATAATCTATTTCCTTAACTCTGAATATTCACTCCATAGTGAGACGAAACTGTACGAATACCGAGTCTCGGGATATAACCATGGCGACGAAACACCCTAACGAAATAAATAATTACGAAACACTCTCAGAAAACTTACGCTGAGAGAGATTGCTGGATTTTTTTCTGTGTGTAAAACGATCAGGAATGAATGAGGAGGAGATGCAATTTTTAAAGAGAAGGAGAAGACTCACTTCCTGGAGAGGCAATTTTTAAAGAGAAGGAGAAGACCCACTTCCTGCAACAACTGTTGCACGTAGGCGAGAATCTTGCGGAGATCGAGGAAAGTTGAGTTACGAAACTTCTTCCACAAGATGTTCTTTTCTCGTTTAAAATATCTTGGGCGAACATACAAAATGTTTATTGCATGTTATTTTTTTTAATTTTAGAAGACAAGACATTGGGCTTAATTTGCTCCAAGAAGATAATTTTTTATCTGACCAGGGACCCAAGCCCACGCTAAGCCGAGCCAGACGGCGGCAGCGTGGGAATCTTGCTCTCTCTCATAGCTGTTTACAACATGATAATAGAGAAGCATATATATACTCCTCCATCTCCTCATTTCTGGTCAATGTGGGACTCTCCCACTTTGCCATTTTCATTTAATTGACATTTTATTTAGACTGGGTTATGAGCCCATTTTCATTTTTCATTCACAATTTTTTTTTAAAAAAACATGACCTTTTCTTGATCCAACAGTTTTCTCCTCTGCCGGTGCCGTGTTGCGGAGTAGTGTTCGTTACAAATCTCCTTCTTTTGTTGTTGTTGGGGCCGTACTTTTTTCTGTGGTGCGAGGACAAGAAGTTTGTTTCCCCCATGTTGATGACCGTTGTAGTTGTTCAAAGGAAGCAGCTCGGCGATGGGCTTCAGAGATGGTGCATGGATAAAATTGTGCTAATGCGGTTTGATGTTGAGCACGGAGTCCTCCTATGAATCGAGAATAAAGATGTTCTGCACTATCATAGATGTCGGTCCACATGAGGAGTAAAGAGTACTCTTCCCCATAGTCGTCTACAGAGCGTGAACCCTTGACGAAGGTTCTGGAGCTTATTGTAAGTTATTCTTTCGTAATTATGAGGAAGGATTGCAGTTTAGACCACGCCATTATTGGAGCTTTCCCGGTTCTGTGTCTGGTTATTTTGACTTGTTTCCACCAAGAGGCTGCGTGACCTCGAAACTTCATCGCTACGAGAGACACTCGTCTTTCTTCCGGAACTTGTTTAAATTCCATTAACTCGTCTACTTGTGCAATCCAATCTAGTAAAGCTTCTCCACAGGGTCTTCCATGAAACTCTGGTATCTCAACTTTGAAAGAGGATTCCCATCTTAGATCAGGTTGGTGATCACGCTCGATGTTGTCATGTTGGTGACGAACAATACGACGTTGGTCACCTCTACGGCCGCGTTCTGCAAACGGTTTGGATTGTACTGAGCCATCCTCTTCAAAGTCTCCATCATTGAATATGGATTTTGTCTTGTGAGTCACTGGCTTAGCATCTCTCCCAACTCCATTATCAAAGCATGAATCATACTCTAAATGTTCTCTTGCATCGCTAATAATGCTTTTTGAAACTCTGACATCTCTGATGTATTGTGGTTCATATGCGCTGCAGTCTGTTGTTTGGGAGGCATGCTGAGTTATAAATCTAATAACGTTCCGCGTCAGATACCAACTGATAGAGAGAGAGGAAGCTTAGGTAACAAGAAACTGAGATGAAACAATACATTCTTGAGCTGTTGATTCTCTCAACTCGAACAAGAAGGTCTTTTGATCTTGATGATACTCTCAACAAGTCATAATAGAGTTTAGAGTACTCCTCTAAGTGTTATAAAGCTCTAAATGCAAATTGCAAGTTTAATAAATAAAATTGTAACACCCCGACCGTCCACGGCTAATGGGCCATCCACACCCGTTCTCTTAGGCTGTGGGCCCATCCCGTTCCAAAGGTCAGTCCGTTAATTTTCCAAGGCTCCACAGTCATGTTTACTGACCCTGCAATCACCACATGACATTTCTCCGTGCTTTGGGCTCACTTACACGGTATCGCAAATCACTTTCCCGATAAGTCACCCATCCTTTGACTACTCCAGCTCAAGCACGCTTAACTCTGGAGTTCTCTCTAGATGTGCTCCCGAAAAGGTAAGTGCACTTTGATGACATAGGTAGCCAAATCAATCCTCTTAAGCCTTTCCATTATATCACAATTCGGGATGTTACAATTCACCCCCTCTCAAAGAACCCAACGTCCTTGTTGCGCCCCACGACAGGTCTCAAGACGCCTCTCAGGTCAGAACTGAGATGGCTAACCAGCTCTAATACCACTTGTAACGCTCCGGCCGTCCACGGCTAATGGGCCACCCATGCCTGTTCTCTTGGCATATGGGTCCATCCCGTTCCAACGGTCGGTCCGTTAATTTTCCAAGGCTTCAGAATCATGTTTACTGATCATGCAATCACCACATGACCTTTCCCCGTGCTTTGGTCTCACTTACACGGTATCGCAAATCAATTCCCGACAGGTCACCCATTCTTTGACTACTCCAGCTCAAACACACTTAACTTTGGAGTTCTCTCTAGATGTGCTCCCGAAAAGGTAAGTGCACTTTGGTGACATATGTATCCAAATCAATACTCTTAATCCTTTCAATATATCACAACTCGGGATGTTACAAAAAGTATTCTGTCCACTACATGATTAGGCGTTGCTTTTAGGTCCATACGCCTGAACCTATTCCACCCGGTTGACTACTAATATGACGCTATGATCAGGCGTATGGACGTCGTTGGTCCCATAACTCGCGACAAGCACATTAAAACAGTCTACCAAGACATCGACTTTCCGTAAGAAACTACTTAAATCATGATTGTCGGTGGCTTATTTGAATTCAGTGAAACAAAAATCCAGCAATCCGATCGGTCAAACACATTGATTTGAATTCAATGAAACATAATATACTAACCCAGATATCATAAAGCGAGTAGGAGGCTTATCAGGCTTGGTTTATTGATCAAAAGTTCTAATAATAATATAAAAACAATGACACAAATGATTGACAACAAACTTCAAAAATTGCAGCAGCCCAAGCTTACTCCCCTCTGCCAACGTTCGCCCTCCTCAACTTGCTGCCCTCTCCGAGACGCCATAACGGTCCAGGTTACTGCCGAACTCGTTAACACCAGAAAGGCACCTTCAAAAAGGGTTCATGATAGGTCTTAACTATCTCGTAACTCACAAAACTATGTAAACTCTTTATAAACTCATTAAGAAAGTAGAATAGTTTTGAGTATGAAATGTACACAACTCTCACGGCAAACAAAATAGAATCCATCAGTCTCATGGCGACTGTCGTGTTAAGACTCATAGTGTCAATTACAAACAACAACAAAGCATAACAGAAAATGAATCGCCTTCGTCTATTTATTCAAATCTTCAAACTAGTCTCTTCTAACCGCAAATCTCCTTTTACTCCTCAAGTCTTTACTTCATTTCTCTCCCTCGAACCCTCTCTCCGCTTTAGAGTCTTTCTTTTCCTCAGTCTCTTTAAAAATTTCCCGCCAAAAGAATCATCACTTCTCTGTTTCTCTCCCAACTTCTTTCTCTTATGATAATAGCTCCTTTGGTACCTATCAGTTCACTGGGAAGCTCCTCAGAGACCTGAGGAAGAATGAGTTTTCCAACTGAGAGGTCAGACACAGGCTTGGCACCGACCCAAAAGGCTCCCGGGGTTGAGTATGATACTCAATCCTTCTTCAACTCTCCCTCCTATTGAGGTGTTTCTTGTGCCTCAAGTAAAACATTATAGATTGTTTAAAGCAATCTTAATATAAGAGAAAAAAGGTGTTCATCCCTCGGTGTTTTTACATACTATTAGTCTTGTGTCCTTGGGTTTTCATTACTGCGCGTTTGAATACTTAAACCACTGGAGAAACTTATTCAATAATGGTGCATCTACTTTCGATCGTGTGCAGTTAGTGAGAGATTCAGGTCTCAATGCTCAAGACCGAAAAATATCTTGATGTTAAGTTCTTCCAATAGTTAACAACTTTTTTAGTTCAGAAGATTGTTTTCTACACATAATTACAGTTTGATTACAATCAAATAAACCCTCGCATATCAGAATTTCCGTAGATATTGTTTAATAGCTACCAAAAAAAATATTGAAAATATTAAAGTGCTAAAAACTTAAAACAAAAGAAGAAGAAAAACAACCCTAAACTCATGACCTTATCTCAATCTGATAACTAATAGATTATAACACTAAAAACCTTAACCGAGTATTAATCGTTTTCCTCGTCGTCTTCAGAATCAGACAACGTTGCGGTGATCTCAATTACCGCCTGCGGTAGTTTAGTAGGGACAGACAATGGTGGTAAAGGTAGACTACAATTTTCGGCAAGTATTCTGCGGCTGAAACAGTGACAAACCGAACACATCATCCGACGCACGTGCCTCCAAGCCCATATGTTGTCGTCGAAATCGTGTTCCATTCGATCGCAGTCAAAGCAAAAGAAGTCGCGGTGAGCATCACAGTAGAGAAACACATCTGTTGTTCCACATACACCACACTTCGATGGATCACTCGTTTTTTTGCAAACTGTCCTGCAAATTAGATTTCTTCTGAGTTGTTCTTTCTCTCCCAAATAGTTATCATTATTAGACATATTTTTTCCTTACCTCTCTCTCTCTCTCTCTCTCTCTCTCTCTCTCAAATCCCCCTCCGCCTATATACTATAGTATCTACTATCTAGTATATTTTCTCGACTTTCTAATATCTATATATATATATATATATATATATATTTGTTTGATCTTTCTTGTAGATAAGCTTTGTAGGAGGTGGGTCGTACCCACCCCTCAAGGCCCACAGAAAATCATACTCAGTCCGATAGGGGGTGAATCGTCAACACCGACACGTAACTCGTTGACTTCCAAGTGGTGTTAAGATCGAGGGAGAGCTCAAACTATAAAAGGAGAAGAGGAGAGCACGAAAAGGGGATCCGAAATCAGACTCACTAGACGGCGATATAGATTAGGGTTTACTACCTTCCTTATTTCATTGTCACAGTCAAATCCGTACGCTCTCCCGGTCGAGCTTTCCGAGCGCCGGGAACTCTCTTTGTACTCTTTCCCGATAATAAATAAAACCTCTCTTTCTTTGCTCGTCTCGACTTACACTTTTGTAATAACCCATCGACGAATCAAGTCACTCATTTCACTGGTACACGACCAAACTCGGTACAAACAAGCTTTTCAATTTCTTTATATGGCTATAGTTATCCCACCAGTTGATCGTGATACAAATTTAAAGCAGAAGGCAAAAACAAAAAAAAACAAAAACAATATCAAAACGATGATTTTATATAAGATTTATACAAGAATTGACCTAATATATTGTTTAGTTTTTTCTTTTGAAACGTGAACTCATCTCCAATTTTTGTTTAATACTTCAAAAAATTTTGTTATTCAACACAGAAAGTCAAATATTTTAAGTTTAATTAAAATATAAAATCATGAAAGTAAGTATCCTTTAAATAACTTTTAAATATATTTAATAATAAATTAAACAAAATATTATTCTTTGCTTTTTTAGCGAAAAACGCACTTATTTGATCACAATAGAAAATATGATTTTGGTGTTTCTGACTTAACATACAAATTTTGACCAGTTGTTTGCTATGTGGCGAAAGAATTGGAGCCAGGGACTATCTGTTTTACATGTCCCTATTCTTTTACTGTTTAGATGAATATTGCAGTAAGGTTATTTAGAGCAGCCATCACACACGACTGGGATGTTACAGTACTCACCACACTTCTTGCAATCTACTTAGTGTCGCATTGATACTATTTTTAAGTGGATGGTCTTTCAGACTGTACTCTATACTACTTGGAAAGAAAGGGATTCAAGACGTGATGAAGGAGTTTGGATATCGGTAAACATGCTCACTCGAACTATTGAGAAGATGATTAGTAATCGTATATCCTCTCTACTCTATCTAAGGTTCATCCATTAGAAGGGTTGCTTAGAAGATGGTTTGAAATAAACTCAGCATAAATTAGGCATCGTTCATTCTTTAATTTGTTCTTTAATAGGCTAGCATATACATCTATCTCCATGTAAATGTGCCATGTTTGAACAATAAATTTAATATTCAATAAAGAAAATATAGATTTTGCGATTTTAAAACCACGAAATTATTTGACGATTTGGCGAAAGGGAATGCTGGCTTCTTTTTCAAAGTCATGTCTTATATAATATTCTTTAGAAAGTCATTGATAAACTTTGTGATAGGTTATACTTATGGTGAAAGTAGTTTTAATCTACAACATTCATGGAAATTGTACTTTTGCACTCATCGTGTAGAGTCAATTGATAAATAGAATTAACAACGTCGTATTTAATAACCCTCATGGACAAAACCCTAAAGCTATTTTTATTCCAACGTTATAATAAAGAACAAAGTTTTAACTAGGGCAGAGTATTAATCATCATCCGAATCAAGAAGAAGACTCGCCTCATTAATTTCAACTTCGGCATGGGGTATTTCAATTGGGATGGGTAACTGTGGTAAAGTGTAGCGTAAGCCTTCGACAATTAAAGTCCTATTGAAACACTGGCAAACCGTACAAACCGTGCGGCGGACATGCCTCCAAGACCAATAGTTAGAGGAGGAGTGTTTCCTTATATCGCATCCACGGCAGAAGAACTTGTCGTCCGCAGCACAGTAGACGAACACATCTGTTATTCCACATATAGAACAGCGCGACCGGAAAATCGGTTCCTCGCAGAATGTTCTGCAGTCTTCTCTTCTCTTTCTGCTTCTTCTTATTTTATCTTCTTCCACGTTACTACCGCACATCTTTCTTCCTTCGCGTCTCAAGCTCCCTTCTCGCCCCACCTATATGTCGTTTATGTTTATATGTAGTCATAATGATATATTCCTTTGTGATTTTTTATGGATATTCTCTGTGGATAAGTTTTCAATTTGTATATATGGCTAGGATTTGTTCCATGTTATGGGACCTACAATATATATGGTAAATTATTACGTAAGAGATTTAACTTAAAAATCCTACCAACTTATTTATAATCATTAACTATTCTGTTTGGTAACTAATAATTATTATTACTTTTAATTACTGAAATTCGGATAATATCAGCCCACGCAAGTCTTCATAAAATACAGTATTTTATAGAAACTCTGTAATTTGATATTAAATTCAGTATGTTTTAGATGTTATATATTTAAGTACACATTGAATGAATTTATGGACAAAATAAGAAGGAAGCTTCTGTTTTATCGGAGGTTTGTAAATGTTAGTGATCGACGAATACAAATCAGGCCTGGTCCGTAACGTTTTCACCCCTAAAGCAAAATCAAATCAAGACTCCAACCCACCCAAACTTGGAAGGGAATTTTTCGATCTCAAGGCTCAACCACTATACTAAAGCATTGTTTCTTATGTCCTTTAAACTTTATTAATAATGAAAAAGAAAGTTGAAGGAAAGAGATATAAAGAAAATAATGTAGAAGAAAGAAAGCATAGGGCATAGAAATGTCTAAAGTGTCTCTATAGCGTTTTGTAGTTTGCTAATTATGACGCGATTCATGTATGCGTGGAACCTAAACTTTCTAAATACAAATTATAAAAGTGTAATAAATTATGTCGCCAGGACACAAATAATAAGAATTCGGAATATTGGGTTAACACAAAGAAGAATTACCAAACGATCGCCTGCATACCAAAAGGCCACATCAGATGTAACTGGAACTCACCATCAGAATAACACGACCATTGCTACGATACAAAAAAAAGAGTTTTGAGTCAAAATTTTAAATAACCCATTTTTCTTTTTGCTCCTATGCGTTTCCTTTTTCTATTCTTCTACTTCCATTTGAAGAGAAGGGGAACTTTTCCTTACTTTTTTAATCCTACTCCATTTGCTGAGAGATGAGACTCACTCTCTTTTTATCAAGACATTCATATTATACCACTAAGCTGTAGATCTTTTGCAGCCATTGTACGTATTTTCAAGACAGAGAAAAACCTTGAACGAGTCAAACAAGATAAAATTTGGAAAAAGAAACGAAAGAAGAAACACATATACAGTACATAGATCACTCAAAATAAAATAAATACAAACAAATTTTTGTATTGGCTTCCTTTGTATTTTAAATGCAAACACCCGAAAATCTTAACAGAAATACAATTACAAAAAGCCTGAAAATCAAAGAGCTGGAGGATCATGACGGCGAGGTAAAGGAGATCCAGGGTTCATTCCCGGAAACTGAATGGACTCATCGTCATTATCATGGTATATATAGGCAAATCCACCATGACGTGCTATATCCATGCCTCTCATCTCGTCCTTCTCCGAGATCCTAAGCAAATTGAGCTGTTTGAGGATGAAGAAGAGTGTTCCCATTGTGGCACTAACCCATCCAACAATCACAAGTATTTGAACCAGTTGTGCTCCCAATAGCTTCCCTCCACCGCCCATTAACAGCCCATAGTGCCTTCCCGGGCTGGCTCCATAGACCTCGTTTACATACTTTTCATTTGCAAACAATCCTACGAATATCAACCCCCAGGCACCGCACCCTCCGTGTAATTGTGCGGCCTCAAGCGGATCATCATATTTAAGGAGCTCAGCGAGCTTGTTGCATCCGATGAGGACGAGGGAAGCAATGAAGCCGCAAACAATTGCGGCCCATGGCTCAACCACTGAGCAACCCGCGGTTATGGCCGCAAACCCGCCAAGTAACCCGTTGCAAACGTCAGTTATCATCCAGTGACCTGATAGGAGACGTTTTCCAAAGAGCGTTGTTAAAGCCGCAGTGCATCCAGAGAGCGTGGTTGTAACTGCTGTCCGGCCAATTCCACTCCATTGGCCGTAGTTGGAACCAGATTCGTACGGAATGAGGATCTTGGTGAAGGAGCCAGGGTTAAAACCATACCAACCAAACCAGAGGAGGAAGGTTCCCAAGACGACAAGCGAGGCAGAGTGGCCGCGCAGAGCAATAGCGCGGCCCCCTTCCTCAAACCGTCCGATTCTAGGACCTTCAATAAGGGCACCCCATAATCCAGCAATACCACCAACCATGTGAACAACACCGGAGCCAGCAAAGTCAATGGCTCCGGTGCCAAACAAACGGTCTGCTGAAAGGAAGGGACTAGCCCATCCATCGGGGGACCAGAACCAGTGCGCCACGACCGGATAAACAAAACCAGTCAGAAAAGAAGAGTATATCAAGTAAGCAACAAACTGAGTCCTCTCCGCAATGGAACCGCTTGTAATTCCAGCAGCTGCGATTGCAAACGCCCATTGGTATAAGAAGAAGGAGTAGTCCGAGGTAAGAGTGGGGAAGTCTTTAAGTCCAAAGTTGTGTGCTCCTATGAATCCACCGGAGGATTCACCAAAAGCAAAAGCGTAACCAAAGAGATAGTAAAAGAGTCCTCCAGCTGCGGCGTCAAGGACATTGGTGAGCATGATGTTCATTGTATTTTTGGCTCTAACGGAGCCAGCACATAGCATAGCAAAGCCGAGCTGCATGGCGAAGACGAGATAAGCGGAGAAGAGGAGGTATGTGTTGTCTATGGCGTAAGCTGCATCGGTAAATTTATTGTTAACGGTGCCTAGTTGGCCGCAGATGTAGTTAGCCGCCGCCGTGGAGTTGGGACCGAGAAGAGCGGAGAGATCGGCTGCGGAGCATGTTATAGCTCCCGACATGTTGAGAGACCTTAGAAGGAAAGCAAGATACGAATAAGAAAGATTGTTGTCGCTTGTGTCTATTAAAAGGAGGGAGAGGATGCTTAGGGTTGACTTTTGATTCGGCCTTAACCAATTAGATTCGTAGTTAATTAAATATCTAAAAAGTTGTGACGTAATGTTTAACAACATTATTGAATCAGAGATGGAATCTACCGAATCTTTTATTTACTTGTAATCACGGTTACGGTTTTTAGTGATTGGCATGTACTTTGTGAATACAAAAATGCAAAAGCATATATAAATGAAAAATGATTGCACATATCAAAATAATACTAGGAACTAATTAATTTTTACATTTTTACAAAATACTATATATCTTACGCTTTTTGTATTCGCAAAGTACATGCCAATCACTAAAATTAAACCGTAACCGTGATTACAAACAATTAAAAGATTCGGTTGATTCCGTCATTGAATAATCAAGTTAATTAAAGTAATTAACCATAGTAAAGGAATGATTTTTTTTGTCAACAGATATTAAACGAATGATTTTAAAATTGTTGCTCAGAGATATCTATCTGTCCAGTGGTAGCATACGTTTGCAAAATATTGACCAAGGAATCTCCAAATTGGAACAAAAAACCAATAAACCTGCAAATAATAAAACAAAAACCACACAAGAATAATTGTCTAGAACTCTAGATTCATTGATACCTGTTTTACCAAATAACAGACTGATTAAGTGACAATTCAAATACATTAAAATCAACAAGATAACTCCATCAAAGCAGCAACACTGAATGAGAATGACTGAAACAGAATGAGAACTCCATCAAAGCAGCAAGCCAGCAACATTTAAAGAGAATGACTTGATCTTCTAGTACCAATCAACATCAGAATTCCGAGTTCTGAAATTTAAAACAAGAAGATTGATTGAATCCAAATATTATAAACTACGTTATCAAATTATCAATAATGAGAATGCAACACAAAACGACTAAAACATACCTTTACAGAAACTCAAGGACCTTGAAACACAGGTTCAAATTCTGAAATAGTGAAAGAAATGAAGGTTAGTAATCCAAAGTTCCAAACTAATGAGTATGGACATAAAACGACTAGAAACTAATATGAGTATGGACAGAAATTATACCTCTCATAAGAGAATCTTCCTCTTCTATCAGCTTAAGCATTTGTTCTTTTTTTTGTGACTTCTTTTCCCTTGAGTTTAATCTCACATTTGAGCCACTGCTCGGTGCACATTAACACTTCTATCATATAGTGTGTTAAGCAGCTTCTGCTTGGCTCTAAAACTCGGCCACTAGTGCTGAAGGCAGATTCAGATGCCACAGAAGACACTTGGACTGCAAGTATATCTCTAGCTACACTTGAGAGAACCGGATACTTTTCACTATTAACCTTCCAATAGGAGAGTACATCATACTCTGAACCGTTTATAAGATTTGGATGCTCCACACTCTCTTTCAAATACATATCAACCTCGTTGGTTTTTTCTTGAAATCCTGCATCTTGAGCAAGCTCATTGTAGATGTCATTCATGCTCTCATAGGCAAGACCATTCCCGAGGACTGTTTTATTAGATACTTCTTCTCCATTTTGATCATGTGACTGTGACTGAAACTGTGACTGAGACTGTGACTGAGAATGAGAAGATGCCTCGTGAGCTGTACTTTGACCTGATGCAACCGCAGTGACATTGTTATACTGATCAAACAATTTCCTCAAAATGTCTTCTACTTCATCATTCAAATGAGTAACCTGAACTGAACCTTCACCATACAACTTCTCAAAACACTTCGTGACAAACTTCATCTTCTTAGAAGGGTCAAGAACAGCAGCCACAATGATGAGCTTATTCATCTTCTCAACATTTTTCCCAAACGGATTCCAATATTTTCCTAGCTTCCCTAGCATATTTGATGCCTTAGACCTCAAAATTTCATCTGGACCAGGAGCTATACTTAATCCAGTAATGTTCCTCATTACTGTGTAGATTGCATGATACAACTTATCGCACAAGCCGTGTTTGAAGCAGACAGAACCAAAGTTGCTTTATAGAAAACAATTAAGAACTTGACTAACCTCTCCACTTCGTCCCAGTTTTCTTTACTTGGCGGTCCAACTCTTTTTTTCCATCCACAATTTCGTTGAAGTAGTCGTTGTAGGGCTTATCCTCAGCTTCCATCTTCTGAAAAGCCACCTTGAACTTCAACGCTTGTTCCAGCATCAGATATGTGGAATTCCACCTTGTTCTCACATCTAATGGTAAGCTGCCTCTTTGAATTCTTCTTGACTCTACATGCTGTTCAAAGGACTTCTGTCTAGGAGTTGAAGACCTCACATAATAAATGCCATTACGAATGGCATCTACACTGCTTTCTATCTCCAGCAAACCTTCTTTAACAATTAAATTGAGGATGTGTGCAGCACAACGAAAATGAAGAAACCGGCCATCTTGAATCATCGCATCATCTCCATTTTTTCGATAAAATCCTCCTGAAACCTCCTCAAAGCTGAACCGTTAGCTGTGGCATTATCTACCGTAATGCTGAACACTTTTTTTATATCCCATTCCTCTAAGCAGTCAAGAAGAACCTTAGCTATTGTTTCTCCTTTGTGATCATACACATTCTTGAATCCTAAGATAAGCTTCTTTAGTTGCCACCAGCGGTCTATGAAGTGAGATGTAATCACCATGTAAGAGGCTTATGTATGAGGAGCTTTCCAAATATCAGTTGTCAAAGAAAGCCGTTGCTTGTTCTCCTTTAGAATCTTCTTCATTGCCTCTTTCTTTTTCACAAACATCTCTACAATATCTCTTGTTGCCGTTCTTCTAGAATGAGGCGTGTAAAACATGATTCTGTCACAGAAATTTCTCCAAGCTATGCCCTCCACCCAAGCTAAAGGCAATTCACCAACAACCATCATCTCATTTGTCGCTTCTCTAAAAACAGTTTTAGATACTTTGCACACTTTCAGATCACCACCTTCACCATCTTGAGCTAAACCACCTTGCTTATTGTCTTTGTTAACTTCCAGCCATGCCTTGTAACTCTTGCAAGTAACATTCAGATGTTTCTTCATATTAGATGTTCCTGATTTCGTTGGACACGCCATCTCTCTACCACGATAGTTGCAAACAGCCTTATCATTATCTTCTATCTTTCTGGTAAAATGATCCCATACCCATGACCTACTCTTCTTTGCCGACTTTGAACCACTGCCTTCTTCTACTTCTTTGCGCTTTCCTTTGTTACGAGATATTGGAGTCTCAACTCCTTCTCCTGATTCATCTGAATCACCATCATCAGCATCATGCATTGGGCTATCTCTCCCATTTGGATGCTCGCAAGACCCCATCTGAATGAGAAAGACAATCAAGATACACAAAAAAATTAGCACAAAATTTTCATATTAGAAACAAAGACAAAAAAAAGTTAACTTAAACAACAACAACAACAACAACAACAACAACAACAACAACAACAACAACAGCAAGAGTCAAGATTATAGTTACAAGACAGTGAAGACACATTTATAATCAAATTCGAGTTTTCTTGAATAAGAAAAAATAACAAAGAATAATCAAAAACAGTAACATAACTCGGGTTTCTTGACAACATGAGTTCTTTGTGTGAGCTTTGGTTGTGTTTTTCATTGTATCTTAATTCTTAATGTTGTTAAGAACAACATAACTAATGAAACATGTGTTCAAATCGAAGTCAAAATCAACCAAAGAACACCAAATAAGCAAATAAAACATAATGAAACTCCATCACAAAGAACACAAATACAAGAATTAAACTCTAAAACGAAAAAAATAAAACAATAAAAAGGATTTACCTGAGTTCGAGACGACTGTGACGACAGAGACGTTAGGGTTCGAATCTGAAGATGAAGAACTTGATTAAGATTCTGAGTTTCCAGCTTGAAAGTGTTTAATTTTCGGATTGAAGATTTATAATAGGATCGAGTATCGGCAACGGACAAACTCTTCGTCTCTTTCAATTCTGTATCGGGGAATGGAAACGATAGCTTAACAGTGACTCGGTTTAATGGAACTGCTAAGTAGGTTAATAAAGTCGGGTCTAGTTTTACCCGATCGGGTCTAAGGTGCGGGTCGGTTCGGTTCTTAGAACCGCAGGTCCTCTTCAATAAGACCCAATGGGATAAAGTGGTTGTACCCGAACCCGACTCGGATCGGTTTTTTCGGGTCGGTTCGGGTTCGGGTTTTCGGGTCCGGGTAAAATGCCCAGGCCTAATTTTGTTTGGTCTCTATGATATGTATTATTCTAGTATCAACTAAAATCAAATACATCCATATTAATATCAAGTTTTGCATTAAAATTTCATGAATTACGTCCAAACTAATAAATAATAATTAATTTATAGTTATTCGTCTTCATATATATATATATATATATATATATATATATATATATATATATATATATATATATATATATATATATATATATATAGTCGGTCTATTTTATTATTCATTACTCCCTCCGCTTCAAACAGATGAACATTCTAGAAATAATATTTGTTTCAAAAAGATGTATTTTTACATTTTCAAAATATAATTTAATGAAATTGTAGATTTTTAACAAAATAATTGTGTTTCTTAAAATTCTATTGGTTGAAAAATATAGAAATTTGTTATCTATAATAAATGATGCATTGGTAATCAAAGTTTTATGTTTTTTTAATATGTGTGAAAAAAAAAAACAAAAATGTTTAACTTTTTAAAATGGATGGAGTATGTCATAAAAACAAGTGGATGCATTATGCAAAGTCTTTGAGGGGTTAGCTTTTGTTTAGTTTGAATAAGACAGCTTCAATCATATATATCACACAAAATCAATCCGATCTAGTTACCTAAATACAGAAATGGTTTAGGAAGCGATTGCAGATCAACAATTGTTTTGAAATTAGCTCAAGATTACGCCTTTCTCTGTATACGAAAAATCGTAGTTACGGTGACCTTGAAAAGA